TGGTAAACAAGGGTATAGGACGTCGAGGGACACACCATCGCTGCAGCGGAGCAGGAGACAGGCTGGAGGGAGCGTTGTCACAGCCGCCGGCTCTGAGGATTGGGTGGGTATATCTCTAGACCAAAATGAGAACTTAACCCTTACAGTGCAGGGGTAGCCCCATTGCAAGGTTTAAGATTAATTTTCACCAGAGTTCTCCTTTTAGCTCTTTCTCATTTAATAAAACATATATAACTTCTGGATAGAAAACCCTCTGGGCTCCGTTCACTTAGTGTGGAACAATCAGATGGAATATAAGAGATACCACAATTTTATAGTTGTGGCCAGAAACACAAAGGTAATTTTAGCCCCCATTCACACTACATAGTGTGAGCGTTTCAGACAAATTGAAAGCATTTTTTGCTCATTTTTTAAGTGGTTTTTAAGCTTTAAGCATTTTGTTTTTGGCTAATGGAAAGCATTATCATTGTAAGTTGTTCTTGTATCAGCTTCCTGGTTTTTCTGGGTGGTGTTTTGTACTATCGGTGCTGCTAATCCAGGAAAATGTAGCACCTAATTTTATTTCCAGGCCTTGCAGTGATTCTTGCAGTGATTCTTGTAATGGGCATCACTGGGGTCGTAGAGGTTCTTGTGGGCCCACCCCAGGCCTCTGCCTCAAGCATTGACACTCTTGAATCCTCCATTGTATTCTCAGGTCTGAGATTACTAGGAGGAGGGGGGGATCAGTGTTGGGGCAAAGGCATGCACAAATAACCGCTAAAAATTCTTGAGTTGCATGTTCTCATGTTCTCTGGGGCCAAAAATGCCCAATCCTGCCCAAAAAGCATGATTAAATACTGAACGGCCTTTTATTCTCTATAAGCTATAGGGGCTCAATTAACACAGCAGCAAGTAGCAGAAAATGACATAACCCTGCATCAGTACTTTACATGCTTTAATAACCCCTTTCAGCAAAGCTTCCCTCTCCACCCCAGCAGGGCTTCACAGCCTGCCCCTCAGCAGCAACTTTGGTATCTCCCAGCAGGACTACACACTACCACCCTCCAAAGGTGCAAATGGTGGGGTAGTACTGGATCTTCCAGGCATGTTTTTATTGCATACTACAAATCCATAGGGGAGGATAGACACTGTATTGTGATGGTGTACGAGTAGGTGGGAAAAACTTGTGATGGTAGGGGGTATTTAATATATCTGAATGTGTGGAAGATGCGCAGCAGCCAGCGAGAACCAGCAAACAAACAAGCGGGCACCTGAAAGGTAAGTAAGCCTCTTTTATTACAGATATGTAATACTTTGCAGGTGGCACTGTGCTGACTGGGTCGATCTAAGCCAAGATGGCAGCTGCAAGTTAGATACCATTTTTTTATTTACATATTTTATGTTTAATTTTTTAAAGAAATCCTTTATGAATTGTTTTCTGTAGGTCCACACTGTTTTATCGTTCCTGTTCGAGACCAACATGGGAATATGTATCCAGGAGTAGAAGCGGTGGATATGTTGTTCAAAGAAGGTAAACAATGATAAAGACCAGTCTGCTTTATGGTAGAGGATCAGACTGTTTGTGAAACACAAAACTAGTAACATTTCCCCTGTGCTGTAGATCAGTACCTGACTTACCTGCATATGCCCTCCACAAAAGTACAAAGTCCTATTTTAAGCTGTCCCAACGCACATTCAAACTGTCTCATAATATTGATCGTTCTGCTATTAATGGAAAAAGGAAAGTGGCCACAGCTCACATACTACAGAATAAATGACCATATTACCATGTGGGGCTGGGTTGGAATCCATCAGTGGATTCCCTATTGTCTCATGGACAGATCAGGGCAGATGTGCTGTATACTGAATGTAGAAAAATAACCCAACAGCTGTTAAATTGGCTCTATGGCCTATCATCACTTTACTGCCAAAGCACTGTGAAATGAGAATAATCTTGAATCCATCCCAGAGATTTTCCAATATTTTACAAATTATCTGCCAGTTACCATGGATACTGCATGTATATATATAATAGAAGCTAGAGATTAATAAGTATAATGTGGCTCTCTTTGGATGTTAGTGTTCACAAAAAAAGAGTTATAAGAGTCCTAAGAGGTTATCTGCCATGTACAGCAATTCCAGTTATTTATGCAGAACTGCAAAACTATTGGCAGGTAAAACAATAAAAATAAATATATGTATTTTGATGTCTGGCTGAAGTTTTGCTTTATTAAAGAAGTGCGGGCAACACTTTTATTAACCCTTGCAGTGTCTCCTATGCTGCAGCGATGGAATGCCCTCACATCCAATATAGAGTGTACTCTAGGATCCTTTAAACTGCTGGAGCAGAGTGGGAGTGAAGCTGGAAGGACCGGTCTAAGAGCAAGCCAGCTCTGAGGGTCAGGTGAGTATAACGTTGTTAATTTAGCACCTAGATGAAAATGAGCAGTTAACCCTTGCAGTGCGGGGCAGCCACACTGCAAGGGTTAATAAAAGTTTTGCCCGGATTTATTCTTTAAATAGGGCACTGCTGAGCTTAGTGTTTTGTTTTTTTTAAATATTTCAGACCTGGCCAATAACTTTGCATACGGAGAAGAGTAGTAAAGCATGCTAATAAGCCGAGCCTGCATACGCAGTTGGATGTAGAAATGGCAGCCCATTTCTACATCCATAGAAGGGAATTTATCAAAAGTGAAGCAAACAGATCCTGTTGCCCCAGGCAAATAGTCAGCTTCTCTCTTTCATTTTCAAAGCTTAAAAAGCTGAAGAGAGATGATTGGTTACTATGCACAGCTGCTCCAGAGTTTGTCTGCTACAGTTTTGGTAATTCCCCCCATAGTGTTTAAAACATTAAAGCGGAACTCCTGGGAGAAATAAAAGACACAAATGAATTCAGCTCTGTAATTATTCATACATCATTAGATTTTTTTTTTCTTCAATGCAACCAGTGCTAGTACAAAAATTTGACATGGTATCAGCATCTTGCAGTCCCAGTACAGCACAGCTCAGAGAGTGGAAGCACAAGAGGCCAAACAGGTGTGCATAGTACAAGGAGCCCCTAATTCCCCTTTCTCCTCGGCCATTTTTTAGAACGCTGTCTACTCTAAAGGTGGCCATACACTCTACAACCATCGCAAGACTTTAGTCTTGCGATGGTTGTAAAGGGATTAAAAAAACGTACGATCTGCCTATCTTGGACAGGCAGATCGCACTCTCGATCATCGCAAGCCCGCCCCCCTGAGGGGCGGGCTTCCGATGACCGCAATGCTGAACGGGCAGTGTGCGCGTGCGCACACCGGCCCGTTCAGCATTTGTCTTCCGAGCACCGTTCTAACCAGCCGAGAATCGTACGATTCCCGGCTGGTTTTCGAACATGCTGGTTCGACAGAAGACGTGCGACCGTACAGTAGAAACGGTCGCACGTCTCCGTTCACACTGCTCGATTATCGTACGAAAACCCGATCGCATACGATTATCGTACGATAATCGTGCAGTGTATGGGCACCTTTAGAATGCTTTCTAAGGCCTGGTTCACACCAAGGCCTTTTCGAGCAGTTGGAAAAGCGCTTTTACACACCCAACACAAGAAATCCCAGGATTTTCAATGTATCCTGTTCACACCTGAGCAGTAAAACACCAGCAGGAAGACTCCAAACGCCCGAAAAAGGTACATGAGCTTCTTTGGGTGGTTAACAGCACGTTTTTGCCCCATTGACTTCAATGGAAAACACCAAAAAATGCGCTCCAGAAGCATGTTGCACGTTTGTATGAGCGTTCATCCATTGTCCGCAACTTTTCTTAAGCTGCCAGTCAAAACGTGCGTCTTCATGTACACGCAAACAAACGCATGTCAACATGTGCAAAACACGTATAATTGTGCAAATAAATGCACACCAAACACGCGCATACAAGCACTCAAAAACGATGCTGCCTAGGTGTGAACCCGGCCTTGGAATACATGGCATTTTGTTAATGGCTGAGGGGAGAGGAGGTTGATAAAAAACATTAGCGCTTCCATGTATAAGAGCCACAGCTTTGATATCTGCAGCAGGTCAGACGTAGAGGGTGATCTGTATTATCTGGCGTGAATGAAAGTATAGATTTTAAAAGGCAGAGCAGTGTTTCTGACGTGACACATGTTTCTGACATGACATATGTGTCTGACATGACCTATTCCTCAGCAGAGGTAACTTTATTTATACAAAGCAAATTCCCAACAACAATTTGCCTAAACTCCAAGAAGATATACAGGACACAAATGATTGTAGCTCTGTAATCATTAATACACCCTTAAATTGATATTATTTTTAAAGGCAGACAGCATAAGTACCTTAAATTTTAAAAATACATTCAAGTACATTAACTATTAACAAAGATGTATCTTATTTGTGTATCACTCAGCTGTAGATCCTCAAATCATCTCTAAATTCATGGTGACACTGTCCTTCCTTCTTGAGGGTGGCTACTATTGTACCCCATGATCCCTGTGTGTGTTGTAAAGTAGTCACTGCTTCAAGCTCGCTCCCGTGATGGACTACAATCTCATGCTTAGTTTTCCAATTTGTATTGAGATTGTAGTCCATCACGGGACTGAGCTTGGAGTGGTGGCTACTTTACAACACACACAGGAACCATGGGGAGCAAAAGTAGTCACCCTCCAGAAGGAAGGACAGTGTCAGCATGAATTCAGACATGATTTGAGGACCTACAGCCGAGTGATACACAAATAAGCTAAATTTTTGTTAATAGTTAAGGTACTTGAATGTATTTTTAAGGTTTAACTACTTAGTTTAGTTTCACAGTAATTTATGCTTAGTAGCCTTATCATCCCTGTCATACCTATCATCCCAGCAAAACTCAGAAAGGCGGTGGAATCAGTACAAGGAGCAAATCGGGTGTTTTGCAGCGCAAAAGAGCATGCTAATAGGTGCAGAGTGGTGCAGAGATGAGCATATGAGAGTGCTTCTTAGGCTTGAACTGTCCAGTCACAGGGTGAGGGTTGGAAGGAGACCTGTAAGTAAAAGTGAAACTGCAGCAGAGAAAGATCAGGTCCCATCCCCTGCCAAGGCAGGACTGTACTTTGTGGAAGAGCTGTGTAAGTCTGGGGACTGGATGGACAGAAATGTAACAGGTAAACAGCTCTCATATACTGTATGTGTGTCATTTGTGTTTAGCTGTTTGACTTGAGTTCAGCTTTAACACACAATAATACAACTGTTACTGTAAGCTGCTCACATATACATATAGTACAAAACATTATACAATATCTATTGTTTCACTTTTGATAGTAGTATATAATGTTTATAGGGGTCGGCAGAAAATGTTATTGTCCTGTGTAATCAGAATCCATATAGTAAAACAACTAATTCATATTACAAAATCAGCTACGTAAACTGATTTGTTTATTGATCCCTTTTAAGCCCTACATAAGAGCCAGACAGGTTCTCTGGGACAGATGGTGACATTAGCAGCCACACTTCTGATAGATACCTCACCGTATAGTAGGTCAATGTTACGCGTGATTAGCCTCCATAATTCCTATGGCGTATACACGAGTGACTGGAAACTGTTGAAGTTGCTAACGCACTTGTCATCACAGACTGTTGTCAACAAACCACCATCTGGCGTCTGCGATCTTTGTGGTAACTACAGTCCAGGTTTTTTTTTTTCCTTGCCTTATTACATAGATCAGTACTCACATAAAATCTACATATACTAAAATCAATCCGGTATGGTGATCTTAATTTCTGAAGTAACCGCAACAGACTATAGTGAGGCTTTTTTCTGATGGACATCCAGATCCATTCACTTTTGTCTGGTTGACATGATTTCAAATTCATTCAACAACTCATCAATTTCAATGACGGCTTTTTAGGCACCCACACCGACACAAGTTATGATTTTTGTATAAAAGAACTTCTTTATTTTATATACAACATATTCAAATCTTCAGATAAAAAATTCAATTTGTGGAACGGTAGTTGTGGCCACCACGCTATCGAGTGTGAGAGGAGGTGGGCTCTCTCTCATCTCATAACGCTAATCCACGTTGCCAATAACAATCAGGATCTACTACTTTTCTACATGTTGATGTAGGTACTATAGAGCAGCTATCACATCTCGAACGAGTGTTGTGGCGTGAGGTGGGATTGACTGCTGGTCTGGGTATTGCCCCCCGCCCACCCCCCTGGTTTTAACAGGTGCACTGGGTAAGATGGCTCATTCTTGCACATATATCAACCCGAAGACTCCTGAGTAAGGGGCATAACCTCCACGAAGCGCATAGAGTACAGCCTGTCCACAAATTATCAGATTAACCTGTCAAGTGCCATGTATATAAATATATATAAATGTGTGTGTGTTAGCCACAACTATCATTTCACAAATTAGATTTTTTTTATCTGAAGATTTTAACAATATGTTGCATATACAGTCGATTCTGATTAGAACAGCAAACTGCTTACTCATTTTCAGATTTACAGGCCATAACTCACAAGCTGCAAATGTCTCATGCTGGAAGGTGTAGAACCGGGATAGCCAAACTTCAGCCCCCCAGCTGTGGTAAAACTACAAATCTCATCATAGAACATGCCTCAGGAAGCCATGCCTGTGGCTGTCGGAGTTGTGCAATGCCTCATGGTACTTATAACAGCTTGGGGGGAGGCAAAGTTTGGCTACCACTGGTCTAGACAAACCACCATCTGGTTTGTGTGCTTGTATTATTGTATTGTATAGTGTATTTTTGTGTGCTTGTATTATTGTATTGTATAGTGTATTTTTGTGTGCTTGTATTATTGTATTGTATAGTGTATTTTTGTGTGCTTGTATTTTCCCTGTATTGAAATGGGTAATCTAGTGTACCAAACTATACCCACAATACGTCCTTTCTTTGTTATTTATAACTTGTCATTATTATTCTTTTGAAGAAGCAAAAATGCAAAACTATTACACAACTTTATTAGTAACATATTCAATTCCAGGAATGTGAAGCTTTCTATTTTGAACAAAACTGTTATTTATTGTATACTGATAATCTCTTTTGTATGTGTTTTATCAAAGGTCTTCATGGCGTAGACAATGGAATTCTGACATTCAATCAAGTTCGGATCCCCAGAGAAAACCTGCTCAACAAGTTAGTATATCAACATCGATTTTCATTTTGGCAGAGGTTACTTGAGGAAAGAAATGGGGTTTATCGATGCTTGAAGATCAGAGTAATTATAAGCCTGACCAAGCTGTGTGAATTTGTTGTCATATTTAGCTTGCTCTTTGATTCACTGTGAAAATACCTCTGGTATAAACATAGTCCCTTTGTGGTATATTGGTATATAGTGCCGTAGGTTTGTGACAATTATGTCAGTAAACCAATGTGCTAATTTTCTACCCTTACAAGTTTGCTAACATTACTCTGTTGGGTGTACAATGTTTGATTATCTGTATTATGAGTGTAATTACAGACTATGGTGGAAATTATCTATAATGCTGGACTGAATGATATTGATGTTTAACGCATTATTTATTATACTTTATTTTCACTTTAAAAACAATTTCACCTAAAATTTGAATTTTAGAAAAGCTCCAAGCAAAGTAGCATCTCTAATTCTGGTTGTTATTTAACTCATATTAGTAAGACTTTCAAGATAGGTTCGAGAGCCCAGTAAAAAATGAAAATGCTTTGTATAACTGATGTAGCAGTGCTACTGTATGCTGCAACTGTTATTTCATCAAATAAGTCTAATTATACTTTTAAGTGACACTAAACTCAGGAGTTAAACCTTAAAAATGCATTCAAGTACCTTAACTATTAATAAAAATGTATCTTATTTGTGTATCACTCGGCTGTAGATCCTCAAATCATCTCTGAATTGGTGCTGACACTGTCCTTCCTTCTGGAGGGTGGCTACTTTTGTTCCCCATGGTCTCTGTGTGTGCTGTAAAGTAGCCACCAATCCAAGCTCACTCCCGTGATGGACTACAATCCTAATGCAAATGAGTAAACTAAACATGAAATTGTAATCCATCACGGAAGCGAGCTTGGAGTGGTTTTTGTTGCCTTGTTTGCATCCCTGTAGCCTCTTGCAGCCTCTTTCACAAGGACTATCCAATCAGGTCCACCTGTCAGTTTTTCAAGTGGTCCTGATTGGAAGCCCAAAGTTAGAGTAGGGGCAGCCAGATCTAAACAGAGAACTGGCTGTCCATACACTGACGTGGCTCTGGTAATATCCGTTTTTTCCTCCAGCGCAAGATGGAGAACAAAACTGTATGGACAAGGATGTCACAAAGTGACATCTGTTCAGATCAGGAGGGAATCTGTGCATGGGCTCTGTGAAAGGGGTCTAAGAAGGAAGTAACATTGGGGGAGGGGAAAAAATACTTTAATGTCACTTTAACTTTTTACATAAATTTATCTTATTTGTGTATCACTCAGCTGTAGATCCTCAAATCATCTCTGAATTGGTGCTGACTATTGTTACATATTCCCCATGGTCCCTGTGTGTGTGTTGTAAAGTAGCCACCACTCCGAGCTCACTCCCATGATAGACTACAATCTCACGTTTAGTTTACTAATTTGTATTGAGATTGTAGTCCATCACAGGAGTGAGCTTGGAGCGGTGGCTACTTTACAACACACACACAAGGACCATGGGGAACAAAAGTAGTCACCCTCCAGAAGGAAGGACAGTGTCGGAACTAATTCAGAGATGATCGGAGGATCTATAGCCGAGTGATACACAAATCAGGTAAATTTATGTCAAAAGTTAAAGGGTTTCTAAGCCCTCCGGTAGTTTTGCATATATCTACTGATGGCAAGCAGTAGATATATGCAAAAAGTAAAAAAAAAAAAAACCTGCTTGAATAGCGTTTTAAACTTACTGCTGTCTTCGCCACGCGCTCCCGCCCGAAAATCCGAAACTGCTCGGGCGGCCGCAAAGCATATTGGGGCGGGCGCATGCGCAGTTCGGATTTTCAGCCGGGAGACGAGGAGAGACGTAAGGTAAGTCTATGGACACGTGCACCCGCATGCCGACACCGTGGGATCAGAAGTGCCAGCAAGGACAGAGGAGTCAGCGCTGGATCGGAGACCCGCAGCAGCACTGGAGAGAAGGCTGAAAACGACAGGAAAGAAGAGGAAGATAGGATTAAGAGACATCATTTAAGGTGTTAAGTGTTTGACTTAAAATTGGGGGGAGGGAAAATGTTTTTTGACTTTAATGTCACTGTAAAGTGACAAAGTATTTTTTTTCCCTCCCCCCAATGTTAGTGTAAGGACTTGCCTTAAATGATGTCTCTTAATCCTATCTTCCTCTTCTTTCCTGTAGTTTTTAGCTGTCCCTCCAGCGCTGCTGCGGGTCTCCGATCCATCGCTGATGTCCTCCTCTTCTCTGATGTCCCTGATGTCTGTGCGGGTGCACGCTGCTCCGTATACTTACCTTGTGTCTCTCTTCGTCTCCCAGCCGAACATCTGAACTGCGCATGCGCCCGCCCCAGGATCCCTTGCGGCCGCCCTAGAAAGTTTCAGATGTTCGGACGGGTGCGTGCGGCGAAGACACAGGTAAGTTTAAACCTCTTTCAAAAGGTTTTTTTTTAACGTTTTTGCATATATCTACTGCAAAAAAATGTGAGGGGTTAATAACCCTTTAAGGTACTTTTTACGATTTGACTCTTGGGTTTAGTGTCACTTTAATGCACGTCCATGATGTCTTATGCACAGGACAGATCTTACTAAATGTTTGGCTGTTTTAATGGCTTTTATAACTAACCAATATCTTTACATCAAAGATTTGATATCGATTGTCAGGACATTAGACTTCGGTTGCCTGCTTGTAGTTCTCATAGGCCATCTCCTATAGCTGATTATACACCAGAAGAGTTTAATTAGAAATGTTTAATTTTCTGAACTTTCTAATCGTTAGTGGGGTCTAATCAACACTCATTTTCAACCACAACCATGAAGAAAATAGGAGGAGCAGGAAGGAAAATGTTTCTTATCTGAACAAATACAATTCTAACTGCGAATATGATTTTTTTTTGCACATATTATAATGTGAATGCACTAGACACAAAAGAAAGCTGTTTAATACATCTGGGATTCCATTCACGTAGCCGGTCCGGATTACATTTTTAGGGGTTTTAAAGGAAATTGACTGAATGATGTCAAGATTGAATGTTCTAACAAAGGATGTTGAACAAATGTTTAAACACAATTCTAAGTGTCTGATCAGCTTTATTCTCCCATCCAGTCAGGAAGTTTCCTAAGCATGTTTTTATGAGTTCCAGACAGAGCTTCCTAGCTGCTTGAAATGTGAAGTAATTCACAACAAGGACTCTAAAGTTGGGGTTCACTCTGTTTCTAACAGCTTACAAGAACCCGTGTTTGTCCTTTTTGGTGTTCAGTGTTCTGGCAAGCTGTCAAGATTTTGCTCACCATTGAAAGTAAGGCAGAAAGAACTGTTATTTTCAGTGCCTTTGTTGTGACTTGTGAAGATGAATTTCTCCACAATGCCAATAGCTGCAGAAGTTAAACAGGGCTTGTTTAAAGTTATTTTAATACTTGTTTAGAGTATGTAAATAGTTTAATGTACAAAGTCTGGGCATGGGTTCACCTTAAAGGAGTTCTATAATCACAGCAATACTATTCTGTTATAACATCAGCATTGTAATAGGAATGCATACTAGAGTTGTTTTTAATAATGCAATCAAAGCTTACATAAAAAATCCCTCTTATGTAGTGCTGCCTTCCATCTGCCCATCACTTTCAACAACTTCCTGGATTCCCAGTGTGCTTTGTGTCCTATTCCCTGATGCTTGATGTGATGCAATCTTGATTTCTCAAGTCTTCATATTACTGAGGGGCGCTGTAAAGCTTTCTCGCACAGGGCGCCAAAAGGCCTAAGGCCGGCCCTGCCCATCATGCATTGATTCCTGCAAGCATTGATGGTGTTACATTGCAGGAAGTTCAGGCCTTGAGTTGTAGTTCAGACCAGGCTTAGTTAGAGTGGTGACATAAGGAAGTGCATTTTCACCGGTGAAATGGTCTGTCAGTGCATTGAGAAAGTACATCCTACGGGCATCTTCAATACGGAAGTTTACAAACTTCTAGACCAGCCTTTCTCAACCAGGGTGCCGTGACACACCGGTGTGCCTTGGGGTTTCCTTTTTTAATAGGGAAACTTTGATCTAAAAGTGAGGCATCTGAAATGAAAGGGGGGCTCCTGATGTAAAGGCGGGCTACTGATGCACATGGTGACTCTTATGTGAAGGGGGGGATCTTGATTTAAAGGGGGCACTTTTGATGTGAAGGAGGAAACCCACTTTGTTTGTGTTTTTGCCTGGGGTTCCCCCTTAAAACCTGTGGTGTATACCAGTGGTTTTCAACCTGTGTAACCTCAGGACCCACGTTTGTCCTTGGTCATTAAGTCGCGACCCAAATGGAACGTACGTCTGTACAAACTGTGGGTGGGAGATGGGTTTGGGCAGGAATGGCAACGTCACACACCTCCCACACCAGAATGCATGGTAGGTGCGATTACGAGGTACAGTGCGTTAACGCTATGCGATTAACGCACTGTACCAGTTTGTCTGGGCCCTCAAAAACACTGACATACATACACAACCCAGGGCACAATCTCACACACTCACAGACATTCTCACACAAACACTCCAAAAACATTTTTTCCCTTTTTTTAAGATCTGCCCAGTCTCCATACTTTACGAGAACTGGAGTGGATCCTCAGCCTGGGGTCTAGTGCAGGCTGTGTGACGGAGCTCAATCCATATGTGCATTGCTTGTACAGCTCCCTTACGTGCCCTGTAGAGGTGCAGGGAGCCAGAATGTAACATCACTCTGGTCCAGGCACCTCTACAGGGAGGGAGCTGTAAGCAATGCACTTATAGATCAAGCTCCCTCACGGCCATAGCCCCATCCCATCTCACCACAAGCTGACACTCGGTGCCGGGCAGCATATTTTGTACCTCTCACCTATAAAAGTGGAAAGCATGCGGCGACCCACTGAACATGGGGTCGCGACCCACTTTTGGGTCACGACCCACCAGTTGAGAACCAAGGGTGTATACTTTTGAAGGGTGATGTGACTAAAAAAAACTTGAGAAACTCTGTTCTAGACTAGTATT